CACGGCCAAGACATACGTCATAGCACCATCTGCCATGATCCGCGCAAGGATTAATCGACTTTGTTGTTGTTCAGCTTCAAATTGAGCTTTCGCGGTGAGTATAGTAGTGTACCTACCTACTTATGAGACTACTGTATTTTACTGCACCAATGCTGCACTGTCGCAATAAGGCGTTCCACTTGAGTATGCCGGCCGATTGGCCAATAGTCCAAGTCTCTCCCAAGAGATCCACCTTCCCTTGTGAACTGGACACTCCACCGTCCAGCTTGCTTGGGGGTTCCCAGGTCATGAAGAGGGGGCGGGGAAAGGACGGAGGAGGGTGCGCTGCTGTGTGAAAGAAGGCTGGCCAAAAAGGTTCCCTCCTTTGCAGGGTCTGGATGACTTCATCCAACCTTGTTCTCCTGCGCGTCAACTCTGGTCACACCCACTTGCTTGCACATGGTTGGGACGAACACTTCAGCCTGTGAACCCAACCGCTTGGATCTCGCTTCGAACCCATCCTTGCCCCTTTTTTGCGTGATCTTTTCAAGCCGAGTACCCTTGGCAGAAGTCTTCCTCGCTCTGGAGTAAAATAAAAGGGGTTCTGCCACAGTATTCCATACCACCATCATCAACATACTACTGCAAGTAGCAACTCTTGTAGAACAGACATCCCCACACAACCTTTAGCTGACTCGCGACAAGATCAAGCTTTTGATCCCCCCAAGAAATATGTCCGCCAACGCGTCGGCAGCGCCCTCGAGGCAAACAACAATGATGAGCAATGCCAGCGATGACACGGCCATTCCCGAGTTCGATCCCAACAGCGTACGTCTCCAGCCCCTCGCTAGACTTTGCGCACCTACACGGCAAATGTCGCTAACACACCTCTATACCAGACCGCCGGTATTCTTGTCCAGCGTCTCCGGGCATGGAAGCACGCCGTCGCCTACCTGGAAGACTATGTCGAGGCCGTTGAAAAGATTCACCATTCTCAGGCAAAGGAATACGAGAAGGTCTTGAAGGTAGGAGAGCCTCCTGCTACAAGTACATGGTTCTGTATCACGGCGCTTTGAGAATACTCACACCGCTCGGCAGACCATTTCCCACCCTCTGAGGGAAGGGGATCACTTCTCCCAGCATGCCACCAATGTCACCGGTGTTGCGGCCATGTTCGAGGTCCTGCGCGCCAATACCCAGGGCATGATCAACAGCAACCTCGAGACACAAAAGAAACTCAAGGAGACTGTCCTCCACGACCTGAAGGGCTTGCACCACGAGATCAAGGACTATTCAAAGAGGCTCTCTCACAGCCTGAATAAGGGAGCTAAGGCGGTCGAGAAGTCCCGCAACACGACTCAAAAGCATATCGAGCTGCTTTCCCAGCACGTTGCCTCTTTTCCGACGAGCGGCGCCGAGCTCAATCCAGCCGATGATCCGTATGTTCTTCGCCAAGGCGTCATCTACCGCCTCCATAACCAAATCCAGGATGAAAACAATCATCGCACCGAACTCATCACCGCCCAGGCCCAGTTCATGGAATTCGAGGTCAAGGTTGTTAAGAGCATCCAAAAGGCCATGGAGGACTTGAACACGCTCGCCGGTGGCCATGCCGAGCATGTTCGTGGTCTCTACGCCCAAGTGCTCCAGACCTCCCAGAACATCCCGCCCGACTTTGAGTGGCAGGAATTCCGGGCTCGCAGTGCCGACGTTCTCGTCAACGAGAACGAACCGCCTCGTGAACTCGGCCACCTGCTTCCCCTGGTTCCCAACGCTGATAACCCCTCTACCAAGGCGCTCATCGAGGGCTCTCTTGACCGCAAGTCTCGCAACAAGCTCTCGTGGGGCTACAATACCGGCTACTACGTCGTCACCCCTGCCAGGTACCTCCACGAGTTCAAGGACAATGATTCCAAGTGCAAGGACCCCCAGCCCGAACTCAGCATCTACCTGCCCGATGCCATTATCGGCGCTCCCAAGGACGACAGGTTCAATGTCAAGGGCAAGGACAAGTCTAAGGGCATCGGCAGCAAGTTGGCAGGCACCTCGGAGTTGCAGTTTAAGGCCCACAGCGCCGCAGAAGCCCAAAAGTGGTTCGACGTTATTAGCAATGTTGCCGGCGCTCTTGGTCCTGGCGTAGCCACCCCGGTCACTACTCCCACTCCGGACACCGAGGACAAGAAGCTCGAGGCTGCGACTAACAACCTGACATTGAACGAGGCCCAGACCCTGCCGCCGTCGCCCCATGAGACTGGTGTCGTTGCCAGTCCCATCAACATTTCGCCTGTTGACACCAAGGCTGCCGGTGCCGCCGCTCCTCCTGCTGCACCCCCCGCGGCCGCGGTTCCTGAAAAGGGTGCTTTGCCTAAGTAGTAAGGCGGCTTTCCACCTAAGAGTCGGGTCTCATAATGATGATAATGATGATAATGATGATGATGAAGAGAATCGAGACAAACAGCAACAACTGCAAGAAATAAACCAAGAAAACAATGCCATGGAATTCGAAACGACACACTTTGCCGATGCTAGATTAGTTGGTTATCTGGCAGAGTTGGTTTATTTGGTACCATTTCGTTTATAACCCCCTTCCTCCCCCCTTATACCCCCTTCATTTATATTATTCTATCTAGATAGCTATCTAATTGTCTATTTACCATGAATGAATCTTACTTTGTGATGCCCGAAGGTGTTGAGCCTCCTTATTGTCTATGACACATGCCACATTTATGGTGATGCCGTACTTTGACTTTTTCCGAGCCCTATACCCGTGCGTTCTTGCATACTACCAATTTCTTGCCACCATCAAACTCGAGGGAAGTCTGGCTGCCAGTGACATTGCCAGCTCTAACGAGCGGTAGTACAATCAAAAGAAGTTTGGACTGAGGCCGTTAATACCTCGGGGTTGGCTCCTTAGACCTGCTGTATAGAATTGCGCCATGACCCAGTAGAAAATGAGCTTCATTCGCGCAGGACCACGCATGCTTCACTCGCAAGGGAAAGTTATGGAAGGGGTTCCTATTCCGGGTCATTATCTCTCATGTTCATTGAAACCGACAGCTGCAGAGCTGTTTTCCACAACGCTTCCTCTTAATTGCCCGTCTGAGGTCACCTTGATAGCAGTGATTCTTACATCACAACACCGACTAGCATTCCGACCACCACTTCAGCCACCATTCATTTGCATTCTTCTAGAGCTGGTAAGCGTCAATCAAGGGATATATATGTAAAGCCTTGCAGATTCACGCCTCGTGAGCGAGCCCATCGCCATTCCCCAACAAATAGTGTCTGTATTACCACATAACCAAGCAGCTCTTTGAGGTAGTCAATACAACTACCATAGTTGGGGATGCCGCAGGCGATGGTCATCGTCAGATCCATCGTCACCAACCATCCCGAAAAGCATGATTAACAGAAACTTGGTCCTCATCGTTCTGGCGAAAGTGCATCCCACCAAGATGAGCATCTCAACGAACAAACCCATCAAGATCAACGTCATCGTGACGAACTCCATCAGGACCGTTCTTCCCCCCTACGAACTCTATCGAGATCTTGAAGGTCAGGACGGGCTGTCAAGGTATGTCGGCGATGATCCCGCGTGATTGTGATGCCTCGTCTACGATACTGGCTAAACAAGTCATCATTGTGATTTTCCGGGTGGCCACAGAAGGCCACATCGATGTCGTGCGCAAATATCAAGATCTTGGACTCTGAGCGTGGCCTTCCAGAAGAACAACCCTCAGGACAGGATCAGTCACCGTTTCGCGACCATGACTTCCCCACCCTCCTTTGGATCGTCAATCAGCCTAGCTGCAACGATTTTAACGCTGTGGTGCGGATCGTAAACAACAGATTGAGAGCCATCGTAAAGCGGGGGTCCTATGGACAATTCTTCGCTCGAGCGGATGTCGAAGGTGAAATTTACGGTCGCATACTCGGATCGTGTCATAGCATGGCAACATAAGAACACATCTGTCGTTGAAAGTCGGGATAGGTAATGAACAGAGGCAATCCCGGAGCGCCGCGAAGAACAACATGGAGCAGCTCGAATAGGACCTGGATAATAAAGTGCTAAACACAATGACTATTACTGTACGCAACGATAGAGTCGCTCGAGTTAATGCTTCGCAAGCCTTTGGTGCTTCCTTCCTAATGAAGAGGATGTCACGCAGACGGGAAGTTACGATGATTATCTTGGGTGGGGAGGTGGGTGGAGGGCGAAGAATATGGATGCCGTTGTCAATGTTTAATACGCAGATATTTAGCATTTCAAGATAACATGTTACTTGAGGCGTATATATTGTAGATATACCCTTAACAGAATCGTTAGCTCGAGATTTCTGTCAACTTGTTGAGGCCTTTCCATGCTCAGTTTATGTGTAACAAAGGCTTGAAATTACTTTAAACAAGCTACCTCCGAATATTGGGTTTTTTTTTTTTTTTTTTTTTTTTTTTTTTTTTTTTTTCCTTTGACCTATTATTTCGACCTTCCGGTGTGATAACCGGTGAGAATAAGTCTTACTCGGAGGACTAAGCTGACATACAAACAAGCATATAACTGTACATATTAGTTATATATATTGTGAGGCACCTAGCGGTCGCTTCAAGGAAGCCTGGATCGAGACAAATATTGTCCATATTTCTCTTACTAACTTTCCACTTTCTATATGTGCGGAGTGATTGTCCTACCTCCGGTCAAGTATTCCGGTCATCACATAAGAAGAGGCAAGGCAACCAATCGCTCTGGATAGGTTCAATTACTATCTATATAATCAAGTACGAAGGTCCTTGGCGCATGATTTACATTACATTGGCCAAAAGAACTTTTACACAAACGTGGTCTACCTGGTTCGTACCCGTCTCCTTCATTCCGCCTCAGGTGGTGTGAAAAATAGTCTGGACACTCGCTGGGTATGGTTTGGTATAAGCGTGTCCGGCCTATTTTCACACCACCTCCGCCTGTTCCTTCGTCTAACGCGATCGGGGTCTTTCGAGATACCATTGTTTTGTCTTTCCCCTTTCAATCAAGTAGACTGGACAGCTATAGCTATATACGACAGAAGTTGCTTTGATATAATAGTATGCTGCCAAGAAAAGAAGATCCAATCGAGATTTGTTTTATTTGACCGTTCTCGTTTGTTTCGGATGATAATCCCTGTTGAGTGACTGAGAGGGACACGAAAGAATAAAGATAAAAAGTGGAAAAAGCGCTTCTCATAAAATCACAAATTGCCGGACCCAAACATCATAAGCTATGAGCGTTCCTTCCTATTTCGAAGCCCAAAACGCTGTTCCCTTGTTCATCTCGGCATTAAAATAAATGTAGTAACATCTCGTAAATAGTAAAGTATACATGGGAGGTTTGTCCCTGCTCAAGCCACCAAGGGGATGATCTCGGAGACGGTCACAGATGTGACGGTGTGGCGAATGAGGTTCCTGCCCTCCTCAGATATCAAACGTGAACCACTGTTCCTGAGTATTTTCAAGACTTTTGCTTGCGCTTGTTGCCGCCAGTAGCCCTGGACTTGGCCTTGGTATTCGGCTTCGGCGGAGGAACAGGGGTTACAAATGTTACATGTCGGCTCTCGTCGTTTTTGAATTTCCCGGTACCTGTCCTGTCGGTCGTGGTTTCTTTTCGGTGCTGACAAATTTGAGCGCGAGGCGCGACAACCACGTCATGAACATCCTCTTCAATATTAATTTCTGCCACATCCGAGACAGACCGAGTTTCAATTTCATCGCTGGTGTCGGAGGAAGATCCATCGTCGGAATCATCATACTCCCCATCATCACTAACAAGTGAGGGCGCATTATTGCTAGCGACGGTGTTCGGACTCAACTCTGTGTCTATGTCGTCCTCATATATGGGCGTTTCGGGGTGATCTGGTGGATTGCTCTGCCTAGTAGCTGTGATGGGCAAGCCGGTCAAGTGGGCCGGAGCACGACCTATGCTCGTTGTTGGTAGAGGGACGGGGGAAGTGGAAATCCTCGAGAATGGCGGAGGAGGAATGGTAGACGAGGCCGGCTTGCGCATGACGGCTGATACCCGCGCTGTCGACGTGTCAGGCTTCTTGGAGCTTGAAGTACCTTCTGCGGCATTCGATTGATCGGTATCTTCAGAATCGTTACGCGACAGAACTGCGTCCCAATCTGTTTTGGTCTTTGCATCCTTTACTTTCTCACTCAGATTACCCCCAACCTTCTTCTTTTGCATCAGCTTCGTCAAAAACGGCGTGTCGGACGAGCCAACAAAATCTGGTGCGTTGGAAGACACCAATGATGATGCTGGTAGCGCGGTTGGTATCTTCTTCACATCTGGGAGCTGGCCGGCATGGTATAGCTCCAGTGACGCATTGATACGCGAGAGCAACGCCTTGTACGCCTGCTGTTCCGAAAGGGGTTCGCTGCGCGCCAGCGGGTGCACCAAAGCGGGGCTGGTAGTATTTGGAACGCTTGGAACGATGGGAGGCAAAGCTTTTCTTTCCTCAGCAGCAACACCTCCAATCTCATCAACGTCAATGGGCTGCCCACAATGAAGGGCGGCTTCGTCGTGACTCTTGTAGTCTCTCCGATGGGCTATACGGCAGTGATTGATGAAGCCCTGCGTGCTCGAAAAGTTCCACCTGTGACAATCAAGGCAGACGAGCTTGACCGTCATCCCATCCGACCGTTTCACGATGCAAGGCAGTGATTTATCCTTGGGATGCGAATATCCACTGGATAACGCTTGGAGTTTCTGGGTGCCCTGCCCGCGGGCAGACCGTTGTTTTCCTAGACCACCTGCGTCAGACATGCTATTCCTCGTCGTTCTGCCTTCAGCAACGGCGTTCCTTGCCCGGGCAGTCTCCACGACTGGCTCCGGTTGAATACCGTCAAACATGGGATCGGGTATCAGCCACTTAGCGTAGTGCCGAGAATACGGGCCGTCAACAACCCCGAAGGGTGGCGCCCACTTCGGTACAGACTCTCCTGGTTTCGACTGAAGAGCAGGACCCTTGCCACTGCTGATGTCCAGCATCTGACTGGGTGTCGGACACTGGACAGGGTAGGGGATGAGATGACACCGGCGAAGCTGCTCGAGAGCAATCTGACACTTGGCCAGCTCCTGGTTGATGAGACGGAGCTCGTCATGCTTCATCAGGATTTCAAGTCCAAACTGATATTGGATGACGTCCTTTGCACGTTCTAGATTAGGCCCGGAGGCGGCGAGCTTGGACGGCCTTGCCGCCTCATTCCCGCCTGCATAGGTCGAGGTCGGCGAAGGTAAACCACCATCCTGCTCTGTCTTGATGCGCTTCGACGAGTGACCATGGCCATGGAAAGCGGTATCAACAGCGCTCAGCCGTCTTCGCTTCAGTGAGTGGGTGGATGCGGGAGAGATGGGCGTCGGAAGACCCGACGCGGTCGGAAGAGCTGACACGCTGGACACGGATGGTTCGGCGAGATCCAAAGACGTAGGATGGCTTGCATCTAACGTTAACGTCTTGTCATTTCCCCTTGACTCGGTAGCCCAGAAAGGAAACATGTGATGATATGAAAGGTCTCAGGCGTAGACGCGTTCTGAGGCTGTGATCCCGATGATAGGTCGGGAAAGAAGGGCGGAAGACGTGATACAAGCGTCACGAACTTTGCAGGCAGTAGGAACACTTGATAACCCAAGAGTCACAGAGAGTGGTGGGTGATGTGTAAGTCGAAAAGGGAGGGGGGCGACTGTGATAAACAGGCCGAATAGGGGGTGCGTATTGGACAGGCAACCGAGCGGGTATGCGTGGCAGGCCGGCAGCAGCTGACAAGGGGGCCTGTTCTTGGGTGTGAGGCTGACGTAACCCAGAAAGAGAGCAAGTGGGTCCTTTGGCTCTCGCTGAAATCAGGGGCCGCTTGATCGCTGTTGTGGATTGCCAGTTGGTTGTTTTTGATTGCCTTTTTCAGATTAGCTCGGCACAGCCGGGGGAAACTGACAAGAGGCCGCACCGCACGCAGAGTCGCAGACCGCTAGCAGCGCGCAGGGGCGGAGACCTTGAGGGGACTGAAGGCTTGGCAGAGTGGGCTCCTTGGCTTTGATGATGTGGCCGCGCCCCAGGAGACCAAGACCCAACCGAGGACGAAGCAGGGTCCGACCCGAGTCACAAGTGGTGGCAGTCGGAAGGTGCGAAGTGCGTTGGGTGCTGGCCCAACAGAATAGCAGAGGTCGGCCGAGTGTCGTAGTGTGCCAACGGTGGTGATTAGGTAGCGACTTTCGGAAGAGCGCGCGAGAACTAGTCAAAGCCTCGATCGAAACAGCGATGATAGCAAACAATAGCAAGTGCGAAGTGAAAGCGCGGAGTTCAAAGAGCAGGAAAATGTAGGTTGCGCTGTGGTTCGGGGTGGATTTGATCGGATTATGTTGCTAAGAAGTTGGTTGTAGGTTGATTGAAGATTGGGGGGGAGGGTTGGAGTGAATAGGCGCTGTCACGCAGGTTGTAAGGGGAGGTGCTGGGAAGACACTGCGAGGTTGGCTGAAGTTGAGGGGGTTTGGGGAGAGCGCTGCAGGGCCGAGGAGTCGCAAAAGGAGACGGGGCCGCTTGAATGGCAAAATCACCCAAAAGAATGGACGCAAGGGGACAAGGGGGGCACCGAGCCAACTTTGGGTCGGCAAGGTCGGGGAGGAACGACGAGGAAGAGAAACGAGGGAGGAGGGCTGGAGCACCCAGGAAAGGCCACAGTCTCCAGTTCTGATTGGACAGAAGCCTCCATGATACACTAGAGGGTGGGAGGCCAAGCCGCCTGTTACTGTTAGACCTCCATGTCTCACGAGCCCCATCCCATGCCCTGCCACTCTGCTGCGTACCGCTCCCGTCCAAAGTACAAGTGAGAGGTAGGTACCTAGCTTTGGTGTAAGAGCATCTGCATGCTTGGACTGGACGGAGGAAGCTTCCACCACACTCGAAGGTGAAACGAACGCTCTCGACAGAGACAAACCTAAGACGAGAAGGCTCGAAAGGGCTGCCTTCAAACGCCGAGAAGGCTGCACCACACATGCACACATCTCTTCCTGTTGCGCACTGATTCCTGCGCAATGCTACGAGGCGCAAGTAAACCGATTCTCTGATCTGAAAAATTGAGTTGATATCTCACCAAGTCAGTCGTCGCACGCGCGGCTCCGTTGTAGTGAAAATGATCCCGTAATTATCTTTGGCTGCTGTCTCATTATTCAAATGTCCTACACAAACAGATGGCAAAATGGTGGCTCCAGGTTGCAGAGTAAGAGCATGAAAAATGCCGTCACTATAAAATTTCAGGGCTTTGCAATACTATAATATGAGCATGTATGATGCAACCGGGTGGGAATGAAATTCGAATGAGATGGGAAAGTTGGAGTGGGCGAGGGGCACGGCACAATACGGATGCGATTGCAAAGCAAATAGAACGACCGCGCCCAATCCTGGGAGTTTCCCTCATCACTTTTAATTGGACAGCGGAAGGTATTAGAATCACAACTCAGTTTGACCCTTGCGGGCATGGTTATTAGGGGCACTAGACTGGTCCGTGCATACTCCATTTTTCTCAAGCCGAAGGTATCGGAAGTACACCTGTGTAATTACCGTAATTACAAGACATATGATTGATATATGGTTAATATATGGCATTATTCACATTCACATGCGGGGGCCTCTCACCGGCCCCCTGCACCCCTGGAGCTAACCCTAACCCTAACCAGCCCTAACTAACCCTAACTAACCCTAATACTAATTGGTAATTGGTAAAGAAGTCGGGTATTAACGGCTGTTCGCGGGCGTAATTACAAACTAATACGGAGGAGGTACCAAAAGCGACCTGGTACGTGATCGGACCCATATTTTCTGATGCCCCCATTAACCGTCCCCGACCCTTGCCAGCCAACTGGAACTCGGCGCGGATGTGAACAATCACTAACTGTGTCAGCGACAGACAACACAAACGAATTTAACTTGAGCCGCTCCTCCTGATTTACCAGTCCCCAATCTCAACCAGGTCAGCCTCTTCGCCGGTTTTGCATTTCCAGAGCCCCAAGGCGATGTGCGCTTGTCGATTGTTGTGACTTGTCTGTTGTAGAGCGTGCCAGTAACCCAAACCAGGCTGCAGATGGTTGTTTTTGTGATAAGGGAGCTACTAGCTGTTCTCACCGTCGTTGTCGCTGTCGTACGTGCACCTTCTTTTATCGTCTTCGAACTTCTTGCACAGAAGCCAAGGAACATATCATCTGGAACATGTGGCTAGTGTACACTAGTGTACACACATTGAAGACCCCGCAAATCCACATCTGATCGAAAGACATGCGGAGAGAATGGAACTCTGCCCAAAACCAGGCGGCCAGGGTTTGACGTTCAGTTGCTGCACCCCAAAAGTTGAGAAACTTGCGGTCTGCACTCTCTTCATCGGACACGTTGCATCGAGCCAAGGGTACTTCTTCCCGAGTCGATTTTTGTGTTTAACATGCCTCGTATTTGAATCTTTTACTGCAAATTTCTCGCCACCATCATGAAGTTAGTAAAGTCTTTGCCGGATGACGGACAAATTGTACAGCAAATATTGAGACAGAAAGGATGTCCAGTCCTGATCAGAGATAGTGGTGGAGAGTATGAGATCTATATAATGATTTCTGTCAGCTCATTGGCTGAAAAGACGTGGATACATATTTAGACGCTCTCAGAACGTCCAACTGCCAAACGGGCATCGTCTTGGTTTCAAGAGTTGATGCTATATCATTCTTGTTATCTGTATCCATAAGGTTTAAACTGTAACCTTCATGGTATTGGAAACTGCATCATGCTTTACCTAACAGCGAGATGTCCAGCAGCCGCTGCCCTGGCGGCGCCAATTAGCGATGAGATCAGAGACAAGCTTGTACCTTTCCCAGATTGGTCGTTTCATATGAAACACTGCCTGCCTTTGGTAGGGCAAGAGTACCTTAACAAATCCTCTAAACACATTTTAATTATCTTGACATCAGCAGCTCCCCCCCCAAAAAAAGAAAAAAAAAGAAGAAAAGAAAAAAAAAGGTACAGCTAGTGGAATCAGCAACTTGAAGTATGTGGCTTTAAAGTATCGCTTCAGGTATAAGCTCAATGTGTGTCTTGTACAATCTCGTGGCCGCGAACTCGTAATTTCTGCTTCTTCCAAAAGCAACCATTTGTAATATCTCGAGATTTTCAGCTTTCAAAGGCACCACCTAGGTACCTACCTCCTGTTACCCGAACTTGAATGCCCACTCCATTATGCAGTAGGTGCGTAGAATGCAAGGCACCACGTCTCAAGTCTCAGCCTCCTGTCAACTTCCGCCGATGTTGTCGCCGAGGTCAAAGGCGCGCTTCGTACACACAACTCAGACTTCGAGATACCAGTACGTATCTACGAATGGAGAGTAAATGAGCGGGTACCAGACGCAAGTGGGAATCTAATGAGATGCAGGCGTTGTCTCATCCGTATCATTCTCGTAAAATTCGAATGACACCCGCGCCCAGCATCCAACTGAAAGTAGACCCTATGAGACTGCACGCTTCTTATCGATAAGTCCTAAATGGATCCACAAAATAATCGACGCATCCATGGACCCCACCTCAAATTCGACATCAAACAGTCGCCTACCAAAACATTGGTACGTACCGCCTCTCAAGCTGCCCTTCAGTTGATAACCAGACATCAGTAACGACTACTCGCAGCTACACTTCACCTCGTCCTCAACAGCCTTCCATCCGGCCAGGCACCGGACAGAGAAGTAACCACTTCTATCATCACCAGTCCTTTTATCCCCAGCCCGCAAGCTGAAACGATCAATCGATCCAAAACCAAAACCTACCTAGGAACTCCATGGCCGCCGTAGACACAATGCTTCATCAAGCGTCATCCTCTTCCCCCCCACGTTCCGCCTCATCTTCGGTGTCGGCAAACCAGAACAAGCGTCGCCATGTCGGCATTGGCGATGTCCCAGGCAACTCCAGCAAGAAGCAGCGCACCACAGCAAACTCCAACATCCAGCAGACAGCATCACTGCAAAGTAACCACCCGCACCAGAGCAACACCACCGCCGGCGCTGTAACCCCTGCATTTCAACCATACGAGTCCCTCCTCGCCAAGCTCCGGCCCAGATATGAAGTCAAAACCATGAGCGTCATGCCCTCGACTAGCATCGCCAAGCACGTGGACAAAGCGCTGCAACACCTCGATCGCTTCAGCCTGTGGGACCAATCCGTGCTGCCGGGCGTGGTGCTCCTTTCCGCTAAGCCGGTGGCTTCGAGCAAGCTTGTCACTATTGCCGAGCTGGTACGACGAAGGATCGGCGAGGGGGAGCATAAGTGGTTTCAGTATAATGTACTGACGGAGACGGAAGAGGAAGATGCTGGTGGGACGGAGGTGGTGGAGGATACGGTTATGGACTTGACCAAGGATGGCGATCACGACGAAGAGGAAGAGGCATTTGAGATGATGGGTATTCACAACAACGGCAATCAGAGACAACAGCAATATGTAGGAGCAGGAGGAGGAGGAGGAGGAGGAGGAGGCCGGGCCTCGCACGACCAACAACCGACGGTTTTTGAAAGAGCTATTGAGCCACCCAATACTCGACACAATAAGTACGTGAGCGTGTTTTTGTCGAGAATCCCGATCGAGGAATTGAGGACGATGCGGAATGTTGCTGTGCAGAGCAACGAGCATCACATTGAGCATCTGAAAAAGAAGAGGGTAGGCTTGGTGGCTTGAGACCTGCTGACCAACTGCCCATTTGAAGGATGGGGCTCGTGGGAAGAGTCATGCATTATCATGATGGCAGATATTGCCTGTCACTCGGTCGGGGCACTATCATGGAGTTCAGGGGCATAACGAGCATGTTTGGTTCTAGAGGGACGGCATTGAGCATAGGCAATGACCCGCAGTAGTATCTTCGCGACTTTTGGAGGTTTTAGTTTTACATCACAAATCTCTGTTTCGAGGTTAACAAACGATTAGGGCGCTGTCCGGAGTTATAGGAGCATCATCGGGTATCAGGTTGTTTGTCTCGATACCTCGCATTATCAAGACATGAGGATTACATTTTAAGGCTCATACGCTCAATTTTCTGTGCCCGCCGACGGTCAGGAAAGAGAAGTTCATGGGTTAAGAAAATCGATAAAGTGGGTGGCATTCTTCATCAGTCACATGTTGTCATTAGACGAAAATTGCCGCAATGCAGACAACGGTCGCAAAGCAATGGGATAGTTTCGTTTTATAGTACCTCCTCTAAACTTTTATTCGTTAGTTTGTAATGCTTTAGGATTCCAAGTCGACCAACGCCGGCCCCATGCAAGCCATCAATGCCAAACGCCCCTGCCTCTCATCACAAATGATGAATAGTCATTTCAAGATCTCCTACCCCAATCTGCTTTAGTGCGCTCTCCATTCTAGTAGCTCATAACGTATCGTACTGGAAGCTCCGTCGTATGTTATACAAGAGATCAAAGATTAGTTTCCCTTGAATCCCGCCAGTGGTAGTAACAATCATTCCGGTGTGCAAAGTCTCGTTTGCTGGCTTATTTGGCGCAACGCCCGCCCAGAAGCGAGCGTTGAACCATCAACAATTCGTAACATACTTGTCGTCGCCCAGGTCGTCCATCCATCAGTTTCAGTCTTCCTCAATCTCTTTAAGGCTGCTGCGAAATATATGTGATTCTCAGGACAAAGTTGACCACCACAGCGAGGAGCAGAATGAGGGCCAAAAAGGTCGGACCGAAGCGGTCGTCGAAGCCGGCCTGGCCCCTCAATCGTATCGACTTGGCTCGCCAGTGGTACGTCACTAGCGCATACACCATGGTTGCCATAGCGACGCCTGTGAAGAGAAAGGCCGAGATGAAGGCGGGCCGGTCGCCAAAGTTAAGCATGCCTATCGCCAGGGCGCCGAGGATGACGGTAAAGTTGAGCCATGAGAGAAAGGTACGCTCATTGGCGAAGAAGACCTTGGGTTCGACGCGAGTGGGGAGAGCAATGCGCTTGCCTGTGGAGGTAACGGATGATGTCAGCGGGAAGAGCGCCGTGGAACGGAAAGTAGCATGTTTGCTTACCTGGCGCAGTCTGGAGGAGAGGCTGACTCGACATGTTGATGATTTTCTAGCTTTGAAATGGTGCCAGGTATATCGATTGAGGAGTAAGCGCTTGCGTATGTGTCGTCGAGATTTTGAAGAAACTGCTGTCGGTCGTTCAAAGTGTTTTCCGTAGTGGCAATCCGGATTCAGAATCAAGCTAGCAGGCGGTCCGCGCACGGCTCCGGTTCCGTCAGAGACTCGGACAAGATATCCCACAGCGATTGGAGCTGTCAAACAAGAGTAGGGACGATTTTCGTGCTGCGTCACCGACAAACAAGCTTCGTGGTTCTTGGGCTTTGTGGAGCACTGTTCGCTGTCGTGTTCTGCGTCTCGGGCTCTGGGAGGAAATTTTGTCCTTTTTCTTTCGCCAACACGACGTTAAAGTCTGATGTTTGAATGATGCGGCGCTGCAGCCAGCGAGAAGCTGCCACAAGTGGAAGAAGGTGATTTCTGCTCGCCAATTGCAAAGCTTCAAACGTCAATTGATCAATGAGAGAGGGTGGAGCTATCCTTCAACAGGCCTAATGCTGGAGTTGTAGTGGGAAAATGGAGCCCACGTGGGCCTCCTTTTCAGAACGATTGGATGGGAATGCCTCCGCTTGACAGAGCTAAAGCGATACTGAACCCACCCCTCTGTCGTCACCGTGGTGACCGTGAACTCTCGACCGTGAGCGGGCATGCGCCGGATCACGTGCCATTTGTCCAAGTGCGATGTTCACCTGTCAGCTGTTCGCTTGGTTATGTGTCAGTGACCAACGCTTGAGGCTACAAATGCTTGGCATTGCTGCCCGCCCGCCCTCCACCGCACCCGCGGCAGTTGCCCGTCCAGCGGCAGCAGCCATCCACTCGTTGTAGGGCAGTGTGATACTTGGGTACCTACCGACTCGGTGGTGGCAGAGCGTATCGGGCGGGCACCGGGCGAGCTGATCGCGTGTGTGTTGGTGATACCTAGGTACTAACGACCGTGTACAAGATTTGGGCATCTACAATTCTACATCACAACAACTTTCTTCCCGCAGCCGTCCCCTAGCATCCCCTTTTCAACATCCCGGGGCGTCTTGGAGAGTATATCCACCCTTGTTTGTCCCTCGAAGAGCAGCTGTATGATTTGCCCCAGAGTTTCAGAGACGAGATTGGTTGGGCATTCCATTTAACGCGACAGCCTTTGGACCAGGGTCTCCTCCTCTATCGCATCGCACCGCAACAATCGCAAAATAAACGCCGACTTACACCCAACAACCACACGGCACCGCACAACAAAATGGCCTCCCCAACGAACTCTGTGAGGATAATTCGGCGGCTTCCTTGAGCTGAGCAGTTTTTACTGACTTTGCGATGCGAAAACCAGCCCCTGCCGCCCAAGCGCCTTGAGCAGATCGCTACCGACGTACGTTCGCCTTCGACCCCTTTTCCCAGCACGGCGGTCGTCAAACGAAATCCGGACCTGCTACTCGAATGATGCGAAATGCGCTGACACTTTTTTTAACAAACAGGTGTGCAACAGCACCTTCGCCAGCGTCGAATACTATGAGCACCCCAAGACCGCACAATGGAATGAGGCCATCATTGTACGTTTCCGCCACGTTGTCTAGTCCTCTGTCCCTGCCCGCCTGCTTTTCTATACCGCCTTCTCCGCATCGACAAAATCAGAACATTTCTCCTCCTTCGACCCGGTGAACGAGCGAGGGGTCTTCGTGTGCGCGCCAGTATAGAGAAGGATCCCACGTTAACTGACCTCCGGTTCCAGCAAAAAATGCTCAAAGCGGTAATGTCTGAAGCGACCCCCCAAGGCGCCACAACCCCGGCCTACAAGTTCGCCGTCAACAGCACCATCGTGCAGCACGTAGTGCCCACCTCGCAACTCAACAAGGCCACCAGCACAAGTACATCGACCGGCACCGGCCCCGAGGGCGAGTCGACCTCGTCGGAGGCTGCCGCCCCTGCCGCCAGCAAGAAGGGACAGGCGGGCCGCCGCGGTATGCACAGCGCGACGGCGGGCTACTGGAACGAGAAGACGGACGGCATGTGGAGCTTCAAGTATGATGGCGAGGCAAAGGGGCTCGATGTTGTCATCATGCTCATTTGGATTGCCCTCTAATATTGGGGTTACAAAGAGAAGGAGGAGATGCGTGAGTTCCACCCGGTTCACCCCTTATGATGTGGGGTTGATGGATGGATGGAGAGGCGCATGGTGAGGGATAGGGAGCCCGGAGTCAGTATACCAAACAAGCGAGAAGAACAATAATTTACTCTGTAATGATATCATAACCTTATCTATATGGTACTGAATGACAGGGATGAACGTGAGCCGTCCGTGGTGGCCTCATCGGCTGGACTATCACAAAGGGGGCTGTCGTAGCTGAACGGGGGTCCTCGATGGTGTGGTTATATTGAAGCGGCTATATGACTTCGAAGTCGGCACAGCGGTCGCAAGATAATAATGCCTGCTAAAATCAAAGGACCAATACTTGTCAAGTGACCAACCCTGACACAATACGCCATAAGCCTTCTGAGATTTCTAGTGTATACGGCCATTTTGATGGAACCGGTGGGCTTCAGGGTTACAGCAATCGGGGGACCTTGACCTGAAACCTCGGAAAGATCGTCGGCCCTCCATCGGACTTAATGCCCCGGGAGCTACGGTACGGCCAAGGCGGAGCTTGGCGAGCCCTGATCACGGATCACGGATCACGGAACTGGAGGTATCTTGCTTCTGCTACGAGAAAGTTCCGGGGCCAGGAAGCGCGGGTATGACGTCTATGGGCGTATTCCCATCATGCTTTGGCTTGTTCCACCGAGGCTTGGGGGCTCAGGCGGTGTACTTCTGATACATGGCCCAATATAACGTCGAGACACCAGGCTTTAGCCCGGTTTCCTATAAGCGAAAAGAAATCAGTTCGATCTGGAGATGGTGCCTCTGTTTGCGTTTTGCCCCTACATTGAAGGCTGTCGCGGGTGCTCATGCATAGCGGGAACGTGTGGTGGGCCAGGTATAGTTCACGATGAAAATACAATGAACGGTCGTGGAAGCTTAACTGTCGACAGGATCTGAATCAGTTACTACTTGAACTCTGATCAGCCCTAGTCGTTTTGCTGAAACCCGTACCCTCAAGTCGAGCACGCCGAGAGGTGGTGGTGAGATTTTTTTGTTGGTAGGCTGGTTGGCGTGACTTTGATAGCTACGAGAAATGTCATCCGAGTGCTCGCTTCATGTTTGTCCCTTCGAGACTGTGTGTCGGTCACTGCCCGGCTCGCAGTCAAAACGCAGGTCCGTCTTCAACTCGCAACGGAAAGCCTGTAGTAGTTACACCAGCTCGTCCGGAACAAAATAACGAAGACTGCAGCCGGACCAGACCACCAAAACCATGACATCGCCGCAAACCCCAAGACGGGCTTCGTCTATATCGTTACTCATATTCCCTTTCTTCATCCTTATAGTGCTTTATAGTCTCCAACACGCGTTTGAAGCCTTATAAATTCGTAGGTGTCTTGTCAAGTTGACGACGACATGGTGCTTTGGAGTCCATGTTTTTTTGTCCTGAACGAGACTAGGTACCATCTCTTAAAATCAAATGTGATTTGGCGGGTAAATGCTTTGGGAGCAATGTCTCCCGTTGCTGTTCGTCCTGCACCATGAAGTGTGTTTGGTAATGTCAACCGCACCACCATTGACCTTATTTAGTTGGATACTTCTTTGAAGGACTTGGATCAGCATTGAAGCGGCGCAGCATCAACTATGTCGCCATATTCGCCACGCATTTGATCCGCACTCGAGTCGTGTACCTTCATTTGGATGATAATGATGAAGATCTCTCCCCATTGATTCTCGGATCGCATCGTACGTGTTTTGGGCGCTCTAACAGCCTTGCGAGCTCGACAAGACGCCACACGCCACGCGTACCATGCGCATACTTTTCGAATAATGGGTCAGATTGGGTCCAAGTCAATTGCGATATCTCCATCTAGCGGCTGTTCGGCGCACCACCACGTGCAGAGGAACAGCTAAATGATTTAGTGTACACATCATAGCCGCCGATCATTGAAGGGGCATGATGAATTGTACCCCTACTGCGTAAATATGCCCCCTAAGTAGCCAGTCAAAGTAAAGGGTAACCGATTGTTATGGTAACAGGGAAAGTTAGATATCAGTTGTGTTGTACACTACAAAATAGACAAGCCCAACAAGAAGCGAACTACGCCACCGAACGCAAGTACTCCTCCCTAACCTCCGTACTCCAAACAATGCTGTTTGAAGGTTAAGCTGGGTTTCAGTGCCTGTTTCTTGTCTACATTTGATGGCATAACTTTTCCGGAAAGGAGACGCCGGACCATCAATCTTCAAGTTTATCAAGACAACCCAGACCTGGCGTGAAGATGGCGGTCAATTGCCAAGACAACATTTACCAGAGGACGGTCGTCAGGAGTGAATGTGTAGATGTACATATTAGCGAAAGAACTCTGTAAATAGGGATGATATCAGAAGGCGGGGTAGTGGATAAAGCAGGTCAACTCTCTCGGTGTCAGCGACCGTCTTGGCTTCGGGATGACAGTGTAGATATCGTCCGGATCGTGTCACTGACGTACGATCTGGCTCAGCGAATTCGGAGATGTTCGTTTGAGGGTTGATGTGCGACGTGTTACCTGAGATGGGAAGTCGACATGCACTATATCGGACGAAAAATAAACGGCGGTGGACGAAGATGGTAACGGTGTTTTCATACCATCAGGGTCCGCGATCCGTCAAGGCTCGGGGATATGTAGGTAATATTTCAACGGGCCAACGACTGCAAAACCCAAAAGTGGTGCGGCTGTCAACACGTTGCAACCTGCCATTGCGAAACGCATCACAGTCATACAGTCAAACCCCCTGTACACCATATGCGACCCCCCCTCAAACGCAAATCCTCTGTCTGATGCAAAGAGCTTTGGTGCCTATGTATAATGTGTAGTGCTATTTGGGTGGTTTACATTACACTAGTGTAGTACATAAGTGGTGGGCATATCCCCCACAAATGCAAAACGACCGTATGATGCCAGGGAACTGCCCTGCCCGAATTGGTTGCATCAACAGGGGGCTGACTGTATTATGGAGAGTCCAGGCAATTCCATGAGATGCAATTTTTTCCAGGAGTCCAAGACGGGACCAGGCCCTTGCGATCCTGGCCAAGGTTCCTAGAAAGCCTTAGCAAAGTCTAGCAGTGCAACATGAGGATTCCAACATGTTCTGGCCGATCGAATGTTGACTTTTTCGAACGCCGACATGTAGCAGACTGATGAACGGCATATAAAGCGCTACGTGATTGGTCAAAGCCTTCCTGGCTGAACGACGTCTGTGGTTGTGAATTGGCTACTCTTTGATGCCCGTTCAGGCAAACGTCAATGCAGTGCATTTCGTGCCAGGTCCTCTGCAGATTGGGATGAACCAAAGAACGACTGCCAGTTTGCTCTGATACCACTCGAACCCACAATCCCACAACGCCCGAGACCCTACTTTGCCTTCACCTCCACCGCGAGTCCACCAGGGCCCAACCGGGCTGAGGATATCAGCGATTGAGAGACAACATGAAGCAACGGCGAGAAGATCTGCGACGGCCGCAACTGACAGCAATAGCGTAATGGTGTACTATGTACATACATACGCAGAATGCACTCCGACCGTGCCGGGCCGTTCGAGGAGGCGTTCGGAAACGGATCGCAACTGAATCAGGAAAAGGGTGAAAGTGACATGCAAAGGCCTGTCTGGCCTCATGACGATCCCCCCACCGCTTTCCTCGCGCCGTGCCACAAACAAGCCCTGGATTTTTCCCTCCACAGAGACTGCCTACGGTTCGTTCTTTTCTTCCATTTCACCTCACCTTTTCTCCGTCGGGAGCTAATCCGCGTTCATCCATCGCCTCCCACTCTTGCCCTCTTCCCATTTACGCCTCCGACTCAGCGAACCGGATCCTTGGTACTTGCCTACTTCCTTTGTCAGGTCAGGTACAACCTACTTGCCGGATTCCACACCCCAAGACATTTCCCCAGAAATCCGTCCCGCCTATCGATCCATCTGTTCCACATCCACGACTATCACCCCCTCATTCTCCCGTCTCGCCATCCCACCCTCCACCTCCTTATGAGCTTGCTAGTGAGGGGTCCGTATATTATCTCATTGTGGCCGACGGCATTGGTACCTGAAGTCTTTATCAGAGCAGCCGAGCCCGCTTTGCCTCTACCTTCATCCTCTACACTAGCATCATTGCCACTACCCGAATCAACCAACCTCCTACATCCGCTACAGTTTGATACAACTAGTGATACACGTCGATAGCCCCAACGACCACTACCGTCACCAAAAAGGGATTGTTTTCACGGAGCAGCTACACAATCTCAACAACAACCACGACGATAACCATTATCGAGAGAGAACTCTAGTACCGATCAGCTATCCATTACCATCATGATCGAGGTTCTCTACAGCACCCCACCCCTTTTGCCGGGTTCTGCGTTGCCGTTCACCAGAGAGGATCACATGAGGAAGGAAATGAGCCTTATGCGGTCAGGAAAGCGAGTACCACGCCGGTCTCAAACTTTCCAGGAATATCACATCCCGCAGCCCCCTCTCTTTACCCTCCACACTATTCAACAGCTTCCCGAGGAAGATGTTGTCAAGCAGCCGGTCGTACCCGTGAAGGAGAGGAGCCAGCCCAAGCCGACAGAAGAAAAGGTGACGGTACGACGCAGGCCTGCGCTGGGCCCTCCTCGCCGGTCTTACTCTGTCACGGATCGTTTGCCGTTGCCCGTGCCATCGGCAGGCAAGCTGTTGCTCGATCTGCCACCAGAGCTACACATGGCCATCTTCGACTTTCTTGACCCCATCGATAGCACCTGTCTCGGGCTGACCAACAAGCACTTCTACGCCATTCACCGCCGAATGCATGGGACCGTTCCGCTCAGGACGCGGCGCGAGGGTCCAAACGAGCTGGAGTGGGCGTGGCATCTTGCAGGCACTGTCAGGAGATCGGCCCCATCCTCTCCAGTGGAAGAGAAGAGCGAGGAAGAGAGCAAGAAGTCTCTGTCACTGTCGCAGCTCCGGATCCGTGGCCAAGCATACTGCAGAAAATGCGGCGTCACGCGATGCCAGCTGCATAAGCACATCCAGGAATGGATGGGCGACAATATGGAGTACTGCTCCATTACGGAGAAGTTTGGGCCGATTGCGCCCGAGGGTGCCAAGTCATATTGCTATATGAGCAAGCCTGGCGACAAGACACGGTGTGGGCGACATTTTGTGCGGAGGTCGAAGGTGGTTTTGCAGTAAACATTGGTCTGGATTTTTCGGCATGGTGCGGTTTTCTCTTTTGGATACACACATCAAGAGGCGATGATAACCTGTCGAGTTTGGGATCTTTGAAGCGGCATCAATCTCGACTGGCTACGAAAGGATTCTCGTCGCGAAGGAATGG